TGAGGCCGAGGCTGAAGGCAGACTGAGGCTGAGGCTGAAGCAGGCTGAGGCTGAGGCTGAGGCAGGCTGAGGCTGAGGCTGAGGCTGAGGCTGAGGCTGAGGCTGAGGCTGAGGCAGGCTGAGGCTGAGGCCGAGGCTGAAGGCAGACTGAGGCTGAGGCTGAAGCAGGCTGAGGCTGAGGCTGAGGCAGGCTGAGGCTGAGGCTGAGGCAGGCTGATGCTGAGGCAGGCTGAGGCTGAGGCTGAGGCTGATGCAGGCTGAGGCTGAGGCAGGCTGAGGCTGAGGCCGAGGCTGAAGGCAGACTGAGGCTGAGGCTGAAGCAGGCTGAGGCTGAGGCTGAGGCAGGCTGAGGCTGAGGCTGAGGCAGGCTGAGGCTGAGGCTGAGGCTGATGCAGGCTGAGGCTGAGGCAGGCTGAGGCTGAGGCCGAGGCTGAAGGCAGACTGAGGCTGAGGCTGAAGCAGGCTGAGGCTGAGGCTGAGGCAGGCTGAGGCTGAGGCTGAGGCAGGCTGAGGCTGAGGCAGGCTGAGGCTGAGGCTGAGGCTGAGGCAGGCTGAGGCTGAGGCAGGCTGAGGCTGAGGCCGAGGCTGAGGCAAACTCAGGCTGAGGCTGAAGCAGGCTGAGGCTGAGGCTGAGGCAGGCTGAGGCTGAGGCTGAGGCTGAGGCAGGCTGATGCTGAGGCAGGCTGAGGCTGAGGCTGAGGCTGATGCAGGCTGAGGCTGAGGCAGGCTGAGGCTGAGGCCGAGGCCGACGGCAGACTGAGGCTGAGGCTGAAGCAGGCTGAGGCTGAGGCAGAGGCAGGCTGAGGCTGAGGCTGAGGCAGGCTGATGCTGAGGCAGGCTGAGGCTGAGGCTGAGGCTGATGCAGGGTGAGGCTGAGGCAGGCTGAGGCCGAGGCTGAAGGCAGACTGATGTTGAGGCTGAAGCAGGCTGAGGGCGAGGCTGAGGCAGGCTGAGGCTGATGCAGGCTGAGGGTGAGGCTGAGGCAGGCTGAGGCCGAGGCTGAAGGCAGACTGATGTTGAGGCTGAAGCAGGCTGAGGGCGAGGCTGAGGCAGGCTGAGGCTGAGGCAGGCTGAGGCTGAGGCTGAGGCAGGCTGAGGCTGAGGCTGTGACTGCGACTGCTGTTGCCACTGCGACTGCCATTGCGAATGCGACCGCGACTGCGAGAACAGCAGAATTCTACAACAGGATTCTTATCTGAATCTTAAGGGGAATGCTTCCAGATATGCTCCTACACATCGCTGTTAGGTTGCTTTGCCGGGATAATTTTCAATTCGTGTTCCCTCTCTTGTGCCCCTCTTGGGGCCTTCTTGGGACCCTCTTGCGCCGTCTTGGGCGGCTCTGGGGCCGTCTCGGGGCTCTCTTGGGCCGTCTTGAGGCCCTGGGGGCCTCTTGGGGCCTCTTGGGAGCCTCTTGGGGCCTCTGTGGGGCTTCTCGGGAGCCTCTTGGGGCCTCTTGGGGGCATCTTGGGGCGGAGAGCTTGATTTTTCAATTCGCGTTCCCTCTCTTGTGCCCCTCGTGGGGCCTTCTTGGGACCCTCTTGCGCCGTCTTGGGCGGCTCTGGGGCCGTCTCGGGGCTCTCTTGGGCCGTCTTGGGGCCCTCTTAGGGGCCTCTTGGGACGTCTGGGAGCGGTTTGGGGAGCCTCTTGGGCGGTGCATTAGCGCCGGAAATACGAAACAGCGAGAATGCAAAAACACATTGGAAAAAACAAATGAAAATCAACGATTTTGCCCTCTCGGGGCGCTCTTGGGCGGCATCCTAAAGGCCTCTCGGGGCGTCCTGGGGGCCTCCGGGGCAGTTTAAAACGCATCGTGCGTCGCCAGAGACCCCTGGACGGAATCTTGGGGGTGTCTCGAGACCCTCTTGCGCCGTCTTGGGCAGCTCTGGGGCCGTCTCGGGGCTCTCTTGGGCCGTCTTGGGGCCCTCTTGGGGGCCTCTTGGGACGTCTGGGAGCGGTTTGGGGAGCCTCTTGGGCGGTGCTTTAGCGCCGGAAACACGAAACAGCGAGGATGCAAAAACACATTGGAAAAAACAAATGAAAATCAACGATATTGCCCTCTCGGGGCGCTCTTGGGCGGCATCCTAAAGGCCTCTCGGGGCGTCCTGGGGGCCTCCGGGGCAGTTTAAAACGCATCGTGCGTCGCCAGAGACCCCTGGACGGAGTCAAGAGGGTCTCGAGACTCTTGGGGGCCTCTTGGGACGTCTGGGAACGGTTTGGGGAGCCTCTTGGGCGGTGCTCTAGCGCCGGAAACACGAAACAGCGAGAATGCAAAAACACATTGGAAAAAACAAATGAAAATCAACGATTTTGCCCTCTCGGGGCGCTCTTGGGCGGCATCCTGAAGGCCTCTTGGGCCGTCCTGGGGGCCTCCGGGGCAATTTAAAACGCATCGTGCGGCCTCTTGGGGGCCTCGTGGGGCCTCTTGGAGGCTTCCTTGGGGTCTCTTGGGACCTCTTGGGCCGGAGAGCTTGATTTTTCAATTCGCGTTCCCTCTCTTGTGCCCCTCTTGGGGCCTTCTTGGGACCCTCTTGCGCCGTCTTGGGCGGCTCTGGGGCCGTCTCGGGGCTCTCTTGGGCCGTCTTGGGGCCCTCTTGGGGGCCTCTTGGGACGTCTGGGAGCGGTTTGGGGAGCCTCTTGGGCGGTGCATTAGCGCCGGAAATACGAAACAGCGAGAATGCAAAAACACATTGGAAAAAACAAATGAAAATCAACGATTTTGCCCTCTCGGGGCGCTCTTGGGCGGCATCCTAAAGGCCTCTCGGGGCGTCCTGGGGGCCTCCGGGGCAATTTAAAACGCATCGTGCGTCGCCAGAGACCCCTGGACGGAGTCTTGGGGGTGTCTCGAGGCCCTCTTGCGCCGTCTTGGGCAGCTCTGGGGCCGTCTCGGGGCTCTCTTGGGCCGTCTTGGGGCCCTCTTGGGGGCCTCTTGGGACGTCTGGGAGCGGTTTGGGGAGCCTCTTGGGCGGTGCTTTAGCGCCGGAAATACGAAACAGCGAGAATGCAAAAACACATTGGAAAAAACAAATGAAAATCAACGATTTTGCCCTCGCGGAGTCTTGGGGGTGTCTCGAGACCGTCTGGGGCCGCTGGGATTGCTGCCTGAGGGCTCACCGGGGCCATCTTAGGCCTCCCAGAGGCGGGCCGGGGCCCCAAGGCCCACATTTGTGGTCGAGGTTCCGGCCCTGGGCCCCTGGGCCCGGCTGGTCCAAAACGCTCGAATCTTCGGTTCCTCGTCCCCGTCTTGGGCGCCGACTTGGGGCGTTCTTGGGCGGTTTGGGCGCCTCGGGGGGCGTGTTGGCCTCCTCGTTGGCCGTCTTGGAGCCCTCTTGGGGGCATCCTCGACCGGCTCGGGTGCATCTTGGGCCATCTTGGACGCAGTGGGAGCCATCGCCATCACCGTCATCCGCATCACCACCATCATCATCATTGATGTCGTCATCATCATCATCATCATCATCATCATCATCATCATCATCATCATCATCATCATCATCATCATCATCATCATCATCATCACATCATCATCATCATCATCATCATCATCATCATCATCATCATCATCATCATCATCATCATCATCATCATCATCATCATCATCATCATCATCATCATCATCAGCAGCATCATCAGCATCATCATCATCAGCATCATCATCATCATCATCATCGTCATCATCATCACCATCATCAGCATCATCATCATCATCATCATCATCATCCTCGTCGTCGTCATCATCATCATCATCATCATCATCACCATCATCATCATCATTATCATCATCAGCATCAGCATCATCATCATCATCATCACCATCATCATCATCATAATTATCATCATCATCATCATAATCATCATCATAATCATCATCATCAGCACCACCACCACCACCATCATCATCATCATCATCATCATCATCATTATCATCATCATCATCATCACCGTCATCATCATCATCATCAGCATCAGCATCATCATCATCAGCTGCATCATCATCATTATCATCGTCATCGTCGTCGTCGTAGTCATCATCGTCGTCGTCTTCGTCGTCGACGTCCTCGCCCTCGAAAACGACCACAGCCACTGTTGCCGCCTTCCAGCCAGCAGAAGCAGAGCCGTGGTTGTGGTCATTTGCGTTAAGCTCGGCACCCGGCAAACGACCATATCCACTGCTTCTCTTTCGGCCAGCTGGAAGGCGGCGCAGACAAGAAGCAGTGGCTGTGGTCATTTTCCAGTCCCGCACCATATCAGGTCGTGCGCCGTCGCAAAATTGGGGCCGCGCACACTGGAGGACGAAGCGGCGGACGAGCAGGGGGACGGACACGAGGACGAGGAGAAGGACGAGGGAGGAGGAGGACGAGGGCGAAGAGCGGCGGGGGGGGGCTAGAGTGGGAAGAGCGAGAGGAGCGGGAGGAACAGGGAAGGCGGGGGAGGGAGAAGGAGCGGGACGACAACGACGGAGCAGCACTCGGATCCAAAAGAGTGGCCAGCGCGCGGGGACGAGAGCGCCTCTCTGCCCGACCAGAGCAAGAGCCAAGCCCACAATGAGGCCAACGCTGCAGCGGGAGCGCAAGGTTCGCCGGGAATTACACACAAACGCCAGACAACCTTGTACCAATCCGGCGAGTACGAGAAAACAAAGCGCGGAGGGGGGGGGGGGGGGCGCCACGCTCAGGACGCGTCCAGGGGCGAGAGAGTAGTACTCAGATTGTGCAATGGTGGAAGAGGGGAAAAAGGGGAGACGGAGGGGAGGGTCTTTCTTTTTCCTGCATGATCACGACCGCAGTGCACGAGCAAACGCATGAGGCCCGTCCCGGGGCACTGAGCATGAGATCCGCTTCCCCTCACGGGGGGCTATGAACGAGCCCAATGGATACAGGCACGGGCATGACGGCGGTAATACAGCGGAGGAGGAGGAGGAGGCGAGGAGGAGGAGGAGGAGGCGGAGGGGAGGGTCTGAGAGAGGGGCGCTCCCCATCCGCGGTCGCCCCAGCCCCAGGCTCCTTTGTGCACGATCGGCTGCATGAAGAACTTGATGGCGCGGGAGATGGACGCCCGCGTCACCTGCCGTGCTCAGCCGACTTGTACTCAGAATCATCCTCGCTCTCCACCTCTTCGTCCTCCTCCTCCTCCTTCACCTTCTCCTCCTGCTCCACCTCGTCATCCTCTTCCTACTCCTGCTCTACCTCGTCCTCCTCCTCCTCCTCCGCCCTCCCCGTCCTCCACATCCGTCCTCCGCCCTCCTCCGCCCTCCTCCCCGTCCTCCGCCCCGTCCTCCGCCCTCCTCCGTCCTCGTCCGTCCTCATCCTCCCCATCCTCGTCCTGGCTCCTCGCCCTCCCCGTCCTCCACATCGTGGCCTCGATTTCTGCTCGCCCGCCTCGCCCCCATAGACCTCGTCCGTCGTCGCCCCCCCTCCCCAAACCCCTCCCCCGAGGGCCCGATCCAGAGGGTTTGGACGGGGAGCGTACACCCTGCGAAATGCTTAAGAAATCATGGGTTAAGAAATTCATCGTCTCAGATCTGGAATAAAAACCCAACGTTTCTATCAAAATCTTAGGAATTAAATTGAAACAGTAAGAATAATCGAGACTCTGGCCGAAAACTTAAGTTTTCTTAAGCATCGCCTAAGGTGTAGGGGAGGTAAAAGTGCCGGCCGCATCCTTGGAGCCTCAGGGGGCCCCAAAACAAGCCAAGAGGGCCCCGAAAGACCCCCCGGATGGTCCAAGAGGGCTGCGAGTCGCCGAAAAATCGCTCCAAAACGCCCACGATTGCCTCCAGACGGCCCCGGAGGCTCCCAAGACGCCCCAAGAAGCCACCAAAAGGCGTCCCAAGAGGCCGTCCAGAAGCACAATCGCCCCATTCCCTAAGGTAAAACGTATATTTTTAGCACATTCGCCTCTTGGGCTTTCACGAGGCCCACAACGGCCTCGTGAAGCCTTCAAGATCGACCCAAGATAGCCCAAGAGGCCCCCAAAAGGGCTCGAAGACAGCCCAAGAAGGCCCCAAGACGGCCCCAAAGCCTCCAAAACGAACAAGGAGGGTCCCAGGACGGCCCCAAAAGGAGGCCCAGAGGGGGAATCCGAATGGACATTTCGAGCACTCGGCCCCGAAAAACCTGAGGAGGCGCCAAGAGGCTCCCACGAGGCCCCCAAGAGGCTCAAAAGAGGCCCCTAGAGGCCTCAACACGGCTCCCAAAAGGCCTCAAAAGTGCTGCCAGGAGGGCCCAGAGAAGCCCAAGAGCAGAGCCGCGAGCCGCCAACCGCCCCCGACGAACTCCCAAGAAGCCGAATGGAACCCCAAGATTCCCCAGAAATCGCGCGCGCTCCGCAATCTCCGCTTTTCACTCTTACTGCCGCCCCAAGGGGTCGGCGGTGCGGCGTCGGCCAATGAATATCCTCATGCCATACCAGCTTCCAAAGGCCCGAGCAGACTTCTCGGATCGGCGCCGGAGCCCCCTGCCGGCGCCTCCGGCACTGCCCCTGGCGCGCTCTGCGCGCCAGGGGGGTCCAGCGCCGTTCTGCTTCTCATGTCTCGCGTTGTCCTCAATTCGTCGAAGGCTCCTCATCCTCCGATACACATCCGCCTCTTCTTCCCCCCATAAACCTCCTCTCCTCCTTTTCCTCCACATTCGGATATCACTGCTTCTGCGTATGCCTGCTCGCTCTCTCCTCTTCCTCCTCCTTCGTCTTCATCCTCCTCCCCCTCCTCCTGCTCCTCCTCCTCCTCCTCCTCCTCCTCCACTGCTGACTCTCCTTATTACATGACCACCACCTCCTTCTCCACCTGTGCTCATATTGTCTGCCTTTTCCTCCTCCTCCTCCTCCTCCTCCTCCTCCTCCTCCTCCTGCTCCACCTCGTCATCCTCTTCCTCCTCCTGCTCTACCTCGTCCTCCTCCTCCTCCTCCTCCTCCTCCTCCTCCTCCTCCTCCTCCTCCTCCCCCTCCTCATCTCCCTCCTCGTGACCCTCCTCCTCATCATCATCCACAACAACATCATCATTACCACCGCCAACACCACCACCACCATCATCAGCCATCTCTCTATCCATCACCATCATCATGAACAACAACATGATCAGCATCATCACCATCATCAGCAGCAGCATCATCATCGTCGTCATCACCATGAGCATCATCATCATCATCATCATCATAATCATCATCATAATCATTAGGAGCATCGTCATCATCGTCGCCGTCGTCGTCATGATGATGACAATCAGCATCAGCATCATCATCATCAGCATCGTAGTCATCATCGCCACGAGCATCATCATCATCACCACCATCATCACCATCACAACCATCATCATCACCATCATCAGTATCGCCACCATCACCATCATCATCATCATCACCAGAATCACAATCATCATTACCATCATCAGCATCAGCACCATCACCACCACCATCATCATCAGCTTCAGCATCACCATCATCATCACCACCATCGCCATCATCATCATCATCATCATCACCATCATCAGTACAAGCATCAGCTCGTCACCATCACCACCACCATCATCATCATTATCAGCATCGCTCTCGCGCACATGATCCTCCTCCTCATCATCATCATCGTCAACAGTATCGTCATCGTTATGCTTATCACCATCTCTACCATCACCATCACCATCACAACCACAACCACTACATCACTAGCACTACCAGCATCACCATCACCGTCACCATCAGCATCCCATATCCATCTCCATCACCATCATCATCATCATCATCATCTTCGTCGTCGTCATCACCATCAGCAACATCATCATCATAATCATCAGAAGCAACATCATCCTCGCCGTCGTCGTCATGATGATGATGATGATCATCATCATCCGCATCATCATCGCAACAATCAGCTTCACCACCACTACCATTATCATCATCAGCATCATCACCATCACAACCATCATCATCACCATCATCATTATCACCACCATCACCATCATCATCACCATTATCACAAGCATCATCACCAGCATCAGCACCACCACCACCATCATCATCAGGATCATCACCACCATCACCATCATCATCACCATCATCAGTACCAGCATCATCATCATCACCACCATCATCTTCATCAGCATCATCATCAGTTTCATCATCATCTTTCTCGCCCACATGATCCTCCTTCTCCTCTTCCTCCTCCTCTTCATCCCCCTACACCCCCACCACCTCCTGCTCGCGCGGCCACGCACCACCTCTGCCATCACCTCCTCCGATCATCCCCTTGGAGATCTGTGAATGCCTGCAAGAAGTCAAAACAACAAACATTCACGAGGATGACAAAACACAAGAACAACCAAGCCAATCAGAACTGACTGCGACGCCTTCCAACACGCGCGGGGAGGGTGTAGAGGGAGGAAGCGGAGGTGGAGAAAAAGGTGGAAGGGGACGAGGACACAAACGGACGATGAACGACGACTGACGACGGACGACCACCGACGACGACGCCAGACGACAACTGGGGAAAGACAAAATACCGATACCGCTACGTCCCGGACGTGTCCAAAAGTGCGTTCTGTCCAGAATGTCGAGGCGCATGCATCGAATTAGCCGCGTCGGTCTCGCTACCTCTTCTGAACAACGACGAAGACAGGCGACGACGACGATGCCTACCACCACCACCACCACCGACGGACGACGGCGACGACGGCGACGACGACGACGACAACGCCGACGACGACGGACGACGACGACGACGACGACGACGACGACGACGACGACGCCAACAACAATGACGACAACGTCGCCGACGACGTCGACGACGACGACGACGGGCGACGGCGGCCCGCACCGAACGGCCTCGGCGACCAGCCCCTGCTTAACGAAGCCCATCACGCCGTGCGTCTTCAGGAAGCCAGACAGCGCCTCCAGGTGGGCTCCACCACCTCCTCCTCCTTTTCCACCTCCTCCTGTTCCTCCTCTTTGGGCGTCGCTTGATGGGGGGCGGGACAGGTGCTTTGTTTGGGCCCTGCAGGGCCCCTCTATAGGTGCCCTAAAGGGCCCCTTGTCTGCAGGCCTCGCTGCCCCCCCATGCATCGCACCCCCATAACGCGAGGCCCAGCCTCTCGTCCATTCCGCAGCCCCGGCACGCACCTAGCATTGAGGTGCGTGTCCACCAGGGCTGGGCGCGTGAGGTCCCCAGCACAGCAATGGCCAAAAAAAAACCTCCACCACCACCACCACCACCTCCTCTTCCTCCTCCTCCTCCTCCTTCTCCTCCTCCTCCTCACCCACATCATCCACCCGTGCCTTCTGCGCCACCCCCACCTCAGCAACTCGACGATCCAGGTGTGTTTGATCACCCAAAAGACAAACGACACACAACGACAACGAAAAGGGAACAGTCGCAGGGACGGCCCATGCGAGGAGGGCAGGGGCAGGGGCGGGGAAAAGGGGCGAGGGAAGGAGGAAATCGAGGAAAACGGAAAGGACTGGCCAAACCTGGAGTTGACCCCAAGCACCAGACTCTGAGTAGTTTCGAACGTTCCGAGGTTCTCCTGAAGTTGGCGGACGCTCTGCGGAGCTTCGCCTTGAACGAGGCCAACCCACAACACACAGAAAATGGAAGGTTGGTCCGACTCTAGCCCACGCGCCCTGAGGAGCCCGTTGTGTCCCCCCCCACAGAGGAGGGTCGACAAGGTGGGACTCAAATTCTCGCAGGGTTTTCAGGCAGTTGGACTTACTGCACGGGGACCACGTGTGCACGTCCGCGGCAATTCCCATGGCGCATCAAGGTATGGACGCCATTCGGGGCCTTAACCTTGGAAGCCTGATGGGGCCTCGGGAACTGCACATCGTAGGTCTCACAAAACGGTAAACGTGACAGCCCTGCCAAAACTCCATAGCACAACGACTGGCACTCGATCTTCGCAGTGAGGAAGGCATGCAAGTCCTCGAGAGCATGAATATGAGCCCCCAGTTTCGCTCCACATTCAGAGTTTCTCTGAGGACATACGACCGACACAATCTGAAGGGCCAATCCGCCGACTCGGGCGTCCAGGAAAAAATAGAATTAGAAGACACATGTAACGCCCTGGGCGGATTCTGCCCCGAGAGCAACGACTGGCAATAGACGACGATGGTTTGGGCGTCCTCGCCTGGCCGGAACTCTTCCCGCCGAAGGATGACGAGGGCAAGTGCAGCAAGCTCGGGGGCCCCATCGGCCGGTCGAAGTCAAAAGGAATGGAAAAAGGCAGCAAAAAAACCTTCGCACACAGCCCCCGCCATTCACACGCACACACGCGAAACATCCACGCGGCACTTACTCCAACTCATCACTGTAGCAGAAGCCATCCGTGAAGCGTCGCGGGTAGAGAAAAGAAACGGATCAGCGGGCTGGTCTAGACTGTCGAAGAACCCAAGATCCCAATCAGGAGAAGATAGGGGGACCCCGAAAGCTTCAGTCCACAAGCGAGCCAAGAGGAGCGACCCTGGGCCAGCATCCAAGCGCCGTCGGAAACCTAACTGTATATACCCTGGGGCGCCCGCACGACATGAATACAGGCAGAAACGAAGAAGCTCCCCCAGAGAAACGCCAGAGACCATCAACCTGATAGCTCCACTTGACGCGCCTCTCCCCCGCGGGGATTGCGCCACGCAAAAACCGGGCGGCGCGCGTGCGACGCGGGGGGGCCGGGCGTTCGCTGCCGCGGCCGCGGCAGGTGGCCACGGCCCCCACTCACTCGGGCCAGTAGGCAGCGGGGGGCCGCCAAACCTCTGAACAGACTTGCAAACCAAAAACTATCGCCGATGTCTGCTTCGAAAGCACATCCGCCGACTTGCCGGGGGGGGGGGGGGCTCCGCGAGCACCCGGCGGCGCCCACGAGGGCCAACGAGCGCAGCAGGCCCACCGCCCGCCCAGCCCCCCCCCCCCCCCCAAAAAAAAACAGCAGAAGCATCGCAGATGGGGCCGCTAGCCCCGCGCAACCAGCCCCCGCAGACACTCGAAAAAACGCGCTCACCAGCACAGAAGGCCCAGTTCAGAACTTCCGAGGGCGACCTATCTTAGCGACGCGAGCCAGCGCGAGACCCCAGTTCAGAAGGTCGCAACCACGCCCAATCAGAGACGAGTTGCACGCTAGACCCACCACAAATTGCACGCCGATGGGTAGATCGCACCAGACGGTAAGTGCACAGGTGGCAGGCGGCGCGCAACGAGGTGCATCGGTTGGCACACGCTCAACTGTTCTCATTAACTGGGGCGGCGATGGTGGATTGGAGTCGAGATACCCAGGAACAGCGCACAATCGCGCGAACAAGCACACGGCCTGGAAACGCACGCTGGCTGGCCCGGCCCGCGCGCGGCCCCCCTGCGAGCGACGTCCGCGCGACAGAGCCGACAGTAGCCGGTGCGCGGCTGGGCAGAGCCAACATCGGCGCCGGCAGGCGCCCGGAGGCGGTTGGAGACGAGCTCGGCAAGGCGCGGGCGCGCATGGAAATGCGCCAGCCCGCGGGCGCGCGCGAAGGCGCACAGTCGGGCACAACGGTGCCCCGGCGCGCGCAGCGCAGGGCACGGTCGCGCACAGGCGTGGCCCGCCACTGCCCATCGCGCGCGCTTCGGCGGACAGCCGAGCAAACTGTTACTCTGCGCGCGCTGCAAGTCGCGCAGGTGCGCGCGGGCGACGCACTGCGCGCGTGCGCTGGCACCGCCGGGCAAAGCAAATGCCGCAGCGCGCGCAGCACAGCGCATGGGAGCGACAAGCAGGGCAGCGTAGCACAACATGCTTGCGCAGCTGCAGCACCAGACATAGACGACGCCCTTGGCGCGCGGAGCAGCACACTGGCGCACGCAAGCGGCGCGCACCGTGAGGCCAGCACCGCCGCGCACTGACAGTGCGCAGGCGTGCTCCCAACCGTTGAGTCCTGAGCGATAGGACAGCTGCCACTGATGGGACAACCGCGCACACTTCTCTGTCCGAAGCTGACGCGGCAGAGAACGCACAGGTTGCCGTGCGTGCCTGAACCAAATGGCACAGCGATGGGCGCGAACTTGATCTTGCAGCCGACGGCACGACAAACGCGCCAGCATGCCTGACGCTACACGCTCACAGCATGCACGAAGGCGTGGGGCCACAGGTTTCGCGGTCAAGCGAATGGCACAACTCTGCCCCGATTGCCTGACAATCGCATCCGACATTGCTACCTTGTGAGGTGAGTCAATGGGCTGCGTGCCTGTGGTGGTGCTGACATGCGGTAGTGGCCAGAGGCGACCATAGCACAGTACGTAGTACGACGCGAAGAGTCTGTGACAAGACTTTCAGTAGCCGGCACGACAGTTGTAGGTGCCAGCGGCCTGCCTGAATGACTCATCCTGGAAGAGGGCCGGCGAAGGCAACAGTGAACTCGCCGTCGACAATGCCTCGAAGACCAGCCAGAAGCAGAAGAAGAAAAAGCACGGCAAGTAAAAGTTGCCGAACTGGTCGACGGTGAAGTCAGGACGGGGAGCCTTTGGTGTCCGTTCCATGGGAGCCTGCGTGGCCCCCGGCACTGTCCAATTTGGACCTGATTTGGACCAGATTTGGAACACATTTGGACCGGATTTGGACCAGACTTGGACTGGATTCGTGGGGGCTAGGAGAACGATGAGGGGGAGGGGGAACAGGAGGGGAGAGGAGGAGCAGGAGGATGGGCCAAATGTGGCCCCCACGCTGTCCACATGCAGGAAAAGCTGATTCCAATGTTGCCACCCGAGGCTCCCATGAACAGACATCGAAG